GGTAGCCATGTTAGTCTCTGCTAGAATGTCAGACGAAAACTAAATGAAAATGAAGAAATAGAGAAGACAAAAACAGGGCACCTTAAAGGCTGCTATATTTTAACAAGAGCTTTCATGTACAAGCCCACTTCTTCAGACCAAGTTCACTTCTTAAGGTCTGAGGAAGTGGGCTTGGTCTGATGAAGCAGACTTGCCCATGAAATATCACATTAAAATACAGCAATTAGTCTTTAAGGTGCCACAATACTTTTGTCTTCTTTATAGTTTTCATTTTTGTTTTGGTTTTGCTTGACCTGCTAGTTCCTGGAGGACATTTTTTTTTATCAGTAAGTGCAGTTGCCAGCACCCATAACTGTAAATCACCCAAACGGTTTCTGTGCCCTGACAGTATAGTTCAGGTAACCCAGTGTTGGAGTTGGTCGCCCTCACCTGTCTGTCACAGATGAGCAGTGGAGAAGGAGCCAATGAGTGGACGGAAGGCGGTGCCAAGGGGGGAGGGGCTGGATATAAAAGCTGGTGTATGGAGCATGAGGGAGATTCTGTGAGTGAGAGACAGTGTGAAACTTAAAAGTGAACTTAGAGTGAGTTAGAGTTCTGTAAGAACGCTGAATGGTACAGAGAGTTATTAGAGATTTAAAGTCAAAGTAGAACTGATACAAATATAAGTGATTAGCAACCTGTGATTTACCAATTGAATATTAATCAGATGTTAACTTCTCTAATGAAATAAATGACTTTAAGTTTGGAAAGCACACATGTCTCCTTGATTAAGTGGTATTAAAGCAGTAATACCTGGTGGCAGCGAAGAAGGAATAAGAGTGAGAACCTCGTGAAGGCCTGGGGAATAGGGGCTTCAGAGGGGATGGCCACAATCACTTTAAAGTATGGCTGTGACGCAGTGTTGGGAAGAGGGGCTGGATTTGTTAGATACCAGAAAATGCTTTGGGACTGGCCAAGCCTGTACAAAAGGGGAAGATTCTACTTGAATCAAATTGGAGCCAGGTTGGTTGTGCATACTATCAAAAAAGGTGATAGAGCACTGACTCTTAGGTAGGAAAGCCAAGAGGAGTTGGAGAGCATTTATTTTTTGATTAATCAACCTTAGGAGTCAGGGCAAAAATAATTTTTTTGTTGTTTTGAAGTAAACAATGAGGATGCAGGTCAACACAATAGCCAACCAAATAAGCCAAGGTCCCAGAGGGAAAATATACATGACGGAAACAGTGGGGGGAAAATACCACATGTAGGTGCTTCTATGTTCATGCTAGAAATATTTACGCCAAGGAGGAGTTGTTTAAAGGAGAATATCAGTATAGTAGGCATAAGAAACGCCTGCTGGAACAATGGGAGCAGTCACCTATGATTGTTTCTGACTATGAATCTATGAAACGGAGGAAGAAGAATGGCATACTAGGACTGTGTGAGCCTTGTTGAACTACTTTGAATTAATTTCAAACATGAGCCAAGAAATATATGAGCCACAAGTTGCCAAGGAAGTCTGGCACAAGCACATTTCACTTCAAAAAGAATACTTCTTTTAAAAAAAAACTGTTGGTTAAAAAAAGGAAGTGGAAAAGTAAAGTCATGAGGATAAAATTTAGCCAGAATGCTTGTGAGCAAGAAAACTTACAACAATATAGACACAGTGAAAGTTTTACAGCTCAGGAAAAGTACCAACCAAAGACCAGAAGGAAACCACTAAGGTTCAAAAATCCCTTGGCCTCCCCATGGAACTGCTATGAGCTATATTTTAAAGGAAAGACAATAATCACAAGCTGCTTACCA